AGGAGGCGGATGGCGCCTGGCCCCGGGCTGCAAGACCCACCCGAGAAAAATGCCCCGGGAGGTGCCGGGCATCGTGCGGACTGCGGCGTGCATGGGGCCGGCTGGGAATCAGCCCCATGCCAGTGTCCCGTGGCGCTCAGGTTGTGCGTGGAGGCTGGATAACCCCACCTGCGTGCTCCGGTGCTTCACAGAGGTAGGAGGCTGCCCGGGCAGACCCCTGCACTGGCGGCGGAGTGACCAGCAGTGAGAGGGGACCCTCCCTTGGCAGCCTTTCAGGGGCACCTCGTCTCTTCCCGCTGCCTGCGAGGCAGTGGCAAGTTGGTGGGTCCTTCCCATCTCCAAACCCAGCTCACTGCTGGCTCCTGGAAGGGAGACGGGAAGAAAATGAGACTTTGAAAAGGATAAGGCTTCATGTTCCTCAGGAGTTTGGGCCTCTGGAGCTGATGACTTGTCTCATTTCTCTTATCTGTGCCATGTTTAGGCATCAGGTCAACTCAAACTTCACCCTCATTTGTTCCATGCTCATTTCTTTCTTTTTTGATCACTTCGGAGTGTCGGGAACTTCTTCACTATTAGGTATTCTGGATGATGTAATTAAAATTCGGAGTAATTCACAGTTCTGGTTAGCTAAGTAGCTTTGTGATGACAAGCTAAATGTCACACACTTCCTAGTCTTCAGCTCTGCTCCCAGCCTGCTCTCCACAGAGGGCGACGTTTTTTGGAACAGCTTCATGGATCCTGGGGTCTACTCCCCTTTCAGCTGGTTTTATTTTAAATTCCTGACTTTTTTTTTTTCAGGTCTGTTCTCAAATATCTGGTTATGGCGAGGTGTTGCTGGAGTCCTTACTGCTGCTGTCATTTTGATTTTGTGTATTCAGTTTGGTAAGTGTGTAAATCATTTTAAAATAAAATATGATTAGCCTTAGAAATTACCCAATAAAATATATATTCTGGTCAGAAGTCCCTCAAAACTTCAAAAGGTTTATTCAGAACTTACATTATCTCAAAGTTAAACAGATATCTCATGACACAGTGTTTAGAATTGCAGTCAAGTGCAGGAGAAATGACTCCACTAGTTGCAGTGGCATTAGGGAGTGCTCAGTTTAGTCTTAGTGTACTTCTGGCATTCAAGTTTATAACCTTACTGTTGGTCTTAATCCAATTGCAAGAAAACAAATAACAAATGGAAGATTGTTCTTTGCAACCAATCTGTAGTCCTTCAAGAAATGACACTATAGTAAACAAAGCTATTAATTCAGCTGCAAGGAAGCAACACTTGCAGAAACTATGATTGTCAGAAATATTTAAGTTGTAGAAGAGTCCTTGGAGGATACGTTCTTATCACCTTCTCAGCTACTTCTACCAACCTGCCCCTGATCATCGCTATAAAGGTATGCCAGCAACCATAAACCTGCCCCTGATCATCGCTATAAAGGTATGCCAGCAACCATAAGGGTTTACAATATTTTACAATAATTATTTCTGCTGGGCAGAAGTATTAACAGCATGGTTAGACTTACATGATTTTAGATGATGCAGTCAGAAAGCAAGCTAAAAAGCTCCAGAAACCTTTTCCAGTTGGAAGAAATAGGTAGATTGTTTTTTGTCTTTTCGCAGTAAACCATTCTTTGGCCAAAGATTTTCCCGTCTGTCCTTCCCTGGAACTCTGTCCATCGGGTTGGCTCTATTTCCAGAGGAAATGCTACTACCTCTCGGAGAATGAAGCCAACTGGAACTCCAGTCAGAGCTTCTGCTCTTTGCACAATGCTTCCCTCCTGGTGATCGAAAATCATCAGGAACTGGTAAGGGAACAAATGGGGGGTCCTGGTTTCGCCCATCTCACTTCTAGGGAGCTGCACAATGAACCAGTGTGTTCCTCCAGCATCTTAAGCTGAATGGTTTGAAGCTGATGTACAGACCGTGGCAAGTCACAGCTTGCAGAAGGCTTGCGTGCCTCCTCTCCTTGCAAACAGCAAACATCAGTTTTAGCAGTTGATGTTTTAGAAAGTGCCCGAGGCTTATCTGAGTTAAATTAAATGCTGCTCACAGCCACTCACATTGAAGGCAACTATCAGGGTAAGCACTGTTGTGTCTCATTTATGTTTAATTAGACAACTGTTCTCTCTTAGCAAGATAGGTTAATGACAACCAAGTTGCTAGATATATTAGTCTTGACCTTTGGAGTTCAGAAATAGTTATCCTAACCACAGCTTGGAGCATCTTTTTCTGTATTATACTGCAATGTTAGGAAAAATTCCACCTAGCACAAAGACGTAGGAGAATGTATTCTTCCATATCTGTTACCTACCTTGATAGCAGACCTTGATATTTTAAAGCAGCCTCTCTCTAGGTCAGTCAGCCCTATCACAGACACCAGTATAATGGGCGTACTGGGTGCAGACATCAATCCTGTTGCACATACTGTGGCAAGGATCTTCCTTTTCTAATTTCTAAAATGTCTTCCACAAATCCTTACTAGCTGATAATAAAAAATCAATATGATGAAGACACATCAGCGATGGAGAAATGCATTAGCTGCAAAGGTGTTCATCGTTCTTTGGAAACTTTCTTGTGGAGAGACGGGAAAATGATGCGTTTGCAGTTCCATAGCAGTTCTTAATATTCAGTAGTATACTTCTGTTCTCGTAGTTGGCATTTCTGTCACTACAATATCTGAGTGCTGCAGGGATCCTGTCTCAAAATTAATCCATTTGGTTTCTGATCAAGTTGTAAGTTCTATTTCAGTAATGTGGATTGCACAAGATCCAGATGCTGCAGTACTCTGTAGATATAGTCTTCAATATTGTGTCTTCTGGGAGAAAGGCAAGGTCATTGTTTTGCTTTCTAGCCCTGGATCAAAGACTTTGTATTTTGATAACTGGACTGAACATGCAAAACTTCTTTTCTCATACGGGTTTATTCCTACAGAGTTTTATGGTGAAGATAACAAAGCAAGACCCGTGGATTGGACTCAGTAGAAGAAATGAAGAATTCTTTTGGGTAAATGGGAAAGCATTAGACAATAAACTGTAAGTCGATGTTGAGGGTTTTTGCTGGTGATACTAAATGATAGGGGAGTAAGAGAGGATAACTAAAGCAGATATAGACAGTGACTTGAAAGAAATATCTATAATAAAGTGGAAGGGATGACTCTGGAAAAAGCATGGAATACAACAAAGATTTCACATAGCATTGTTAAAACTGTGACAGATGAAAGTTAGAAGATAAATTTGTAATGCCAGGGTCAGAAGTAACATGACACAGGAGCTCATGGTAACAGACAGTATAGCAAAGTGAAAGTTAAACGAAGAGACCACCAAGATACCAAAGCAACGGGGGGAGGAATGAAAGTTACAATAACACAAATTCCTCGTTACAGAATATATTTTGCAGAAGTGCAAACCTGCATGCAACCTGCATGAGGTTTATAGCAAAGATATCTGGGAGGCTTCTAAGAGGTGTTTTCATAATTTTCATGGCATGTGCCTACAAAAAAGGCTGCTGGAGGGAAAGGTGAAGCTATGAAATTATGTTGTGTGAGCTACTCTGTGGTCATGGCCCTATGCTCTGTGCCACCAGTGTCAGGTGTGGGCCAGCTTGTTCCTCCCACCAGCAGTTTTCCCATCTTCTCAGAGACTGCTGCTTCTCATCCTGGGGCAGCTGCCAGCAGGAGTCGGTAGAATTACCAGTGACAGTAATAAGTATTGAGATTTCACAAGTCTGAAATGAACTTAAGAATATTTAAATTTTCCACTTTTTAAGTTTGTGACATCGCTAGTGGTGCATGACTATATTCAGTTCATCCCCGAGACTTGAGGGCTTGATCTCATAAAGACTTTATGCATTTTATGTGAAATGTGAGCAGCACGTAGGCATCTCAAGTTGAAAATTGCAGTCCTTCCAACTCTCGCTTATCCCCTGCCTTCGATACAAACATCCACTGATGCTTTCATTTTCAGTGTTGAAGTTCTTTACATTCTTAGACTTCTGCCTCTGTGCGTGCCTCAAACTGCTCCTCCTGTCTTTAGAAGGGTGAACATCTTGAAGTCTAAGCTCAGTTGCTATTAGAATCATGTCAGTACTGGCAGGTATTTGTCCCTTGGCTCTTCCAGAGACTGTAGTAGTTTGGTTGGCCTGTTCATAGAACACTGTAACGCTTTGTTTGAAAATACAGTTGGTGAAGGAGACCCTTACCTCTTATGCAGGGACACCTACGGCGTGGAAACTGAGGTTCGCTTCCCGTTTTCCACCACCCCCTTAACCATAGCGCTGCGTTCGGTTCTGAGGAAGAGGGAAATGAGAACAGCATTTGTTTCACAGCTTCTGCTGGAACATTTTAGCTGTGTAGAAGGATGTGGAAGTCAAAGGTGGAGCCAGTCTTGATTGCACAGCATCCTTGAGAAGGGCAAACCTGGATTCCAGTCTCTGCTCTAAGGGCGTATTTCACACTACAAGACCGTTAGACAAGATGCAGGAGTACTGCAGGTCCTAGATTTTGTATTCTGGGGGCCAGGTCCCATTAAAAAAAAAGACAATCTTTGTGGTGTTCTCTTCAAAGCACAAGCTATCATCCTCCTGCAATGCCTTGCCTGTGGTAAATCAGGCTTTGTACAAAGAGAACCTGTGATCCCTGTAGTTCCGTCTGCTCTATTGCATTATTTGATTGTGGGTGTCAAAGTAATTGTGTCTTTCATTCTCCTTTACAGGATTGAAGTAAAAGGATCTGGAAACTGTGCCTATCTTGAGTCAAAAGGAGTCTCGGCCTCTGGATGTTATTTAACCAGGAAGTGGGTCTGTAGCTTGAATATTAGCTTAGCGCAATAAAGGTGGACGAAGCCACCACCCCAGACACTTAGTGCTCTGATATGATGTCCACATGGGCTTTGTCTATACTCTGGGACCTGGGACCACATCTCAGCTCCTGCCTGGAGGTGAATGACTTATCTGGTAGCCAGAATTCTCCACCTATGGAGGAAGCCTCCGTTTTTTAACAATGTCGTTTAAATGGCTTGCTTCAGCATCATTTCCTTGCTCCATGTTTCTAGCTACTGCTCAGCCTGTAGCTTCCTTTCTTTGTGTCATCAGTATTTCTTCCATTAACTCTTCTCTTGTGGGATCCTAAGCAGCTGCTCTTTCTTTTCCTTCTTGGTGTGCAGTTGGAGGTAATTGTTCTGCTTTTCCCTCAGCCAAGTTCTGTGTGCAGGGATGGGTTGTGAAGTGGGTCCGCCTGAAGGTCTGCCAGTGCCTCGCAGATACAGGGTGATGCAGAAATGAGCACTCTTGTTTTAGACAGGATCATTGCATATTTCACTCTCGTGGTTTGATGGGGTGCATCTTGTGCGTCTCTGCATTGCATTCAATGTTTTATTACTGTTATTTTACATTAATCTTGTTAAATTAGCTTGACAGTATTATCATTGGGTTTTATGTAGCTGCACTGCACCTGCAGTTCTCCTTCCCACAGCACTTATCTTAGCAAAAAAAAGTCAGACTAGATAGAGTATTTACTGACCTGAGGATCTGCACTCATGGGGAAAAAGAGCTTGAACTGAAAAAGTAATAGGCAAGCTGCAGGCATTAATGTTGTAAAGTTAGAAATAGTCCTCAGTACGAATAGGCAAAATCATGAGTGGAGAATAAGAGAATTAACAGCAAAGGACGTTTCTCCATGGTTTCCTCGTATCCTGTGCTTGTCAGAGCATGAGGCTTCTGAGCAAGTGGTACATTTCTGGATGGACAATCAGTGTTTCATTCTCTGTGTGTGTATTATTTTCAGCAGCAACAGCCAGTGCTCTTGAATTGCTGTGAGTCTGAACAGAATTAGGGCACAATTCTGCTGAACTCTGTCCGCTCATGTGTAGCAGGTACCCTGAAGATTACAAGTGATGTTTGACCCGGAGGAAGCAAAGCAGCTTATTTTCCTGGAGGGACTATTCCTATCGGGTTTCTAGAGAAGGAGGAATGGGGAATTCGCGTGTGTAGCAGGGCAAAATAATTCCCTGCTCCGAATAAAATCTGGAAAATTGGTTTTCTTGTGATCTGGATGCTATAGAGAGGACTATGGACTCCGTGGGACTTCTTGAAGGAGCAAGCGGAGCCATTTTTAGAGTAGCCGCTAGAGTGCACTATAGTTTCAGGGAAGGGAAGATAATTGCGTTTTCTCATTTTTTAAGAACGTAAAATTGCACCGTGTTTGACAGGTTATTTGGAGCGTTGTTGGCTCGCTGGATTTTTTGTCCTGTTTGTAATTATTTTTGCCTTCACTGTGTTTTTATGCAAATTTAATTGCTGTCTAGTTTTGTTCAGTGGCTTGTTTATGCCTTCATTATTTTCTGTGATAATAGGACTTCAGTGTAACAGGACCGTGCAGTATGGATATTGTTAACAACTTGTGACTTGAAGATGTTTATTTATATATGATCACTAATTTTGCTGAACGACACTTTTTTAATTGCTTGTATTCTTTATAAGCACAGGAATGGGACTCTACAGTATGAATAGCCTAATAATCTATGTGTTAATTTATATGTAACTAGTTGCAGGGGTTATTCTGCAATGTTTTTAAAATAACTAGCTCTGAAGGATATGATATGTGCAATAGTCCTGAAAAAATACTCAATAAATATCTTTACAGAGCCCCTGGATTACAGCGGTTTGTGTCTTAATATTGTGCCATTAGAAGTATTTTTCAGCTCGGGCACCATTTAGGGAAAAAAAAAAAATCACCAGACTGAAGCCAAATAACATTTTCAAGTTTTGAATATGAAAAGATCTTTAATCATAGTGTTGGGGTTAACATGAGACAAGACATTTGACCCAAAAAAGAATGCATTTCACTTTCTAACACTTCTAACACATTTTCACACTTCAAAACGTGTCAGACTTTTAACAAAAGCATTTAACTGAAATGCTTGAGTACTTCTCTGGAAATGCTGAAATGATCATGGTGAAACACACAGTACGGTACCTTTGGAGAGAAATGTGGAAATTTCCACAGTTCACTCTTGCAAAATTTTCTGAGTATTTGCATTAGGGGCGTACTAGAGGTACATTTCACAAATTCAGTAGAAATTGTACGGGATAAGGAGTATTCACATACCATGTTGTGTCTTAGTCTTTCTTAATGAGCTGATGTACTTGAATGTTGCCTTTAACTACAAAATAACATCACTCTTACATTTTTTTTTCCATCACTGTCGTCTATGGATAGAGTCCAAAAATGGTAAATTTTGGTTCTTAAAGACGGTTTTAAAGAAACGGTGAGCACAGTAGGTAATAATGAAAGCTCTTTTGTAATCTGACTCTTAATGGGTGCAATTAGTATCTTTAGTATCTGAAGTTTGTCATGCTAAGAAATGAAGGGTCAGGCTGCAAATGCTTTACTCAGAGTGGGGCTTAATGAAGTACTTCACTTTGATGGCTTTTTTTTTCCTTTTTTTTTAAACAGTGGAATTACTCAAGATTTAGTGACTGCTTAAAATGTAGGTAAGAGCTTCAGTAAAGCCCTGCAAAAACATGTTTAATTACATTAGTAATAGTGAGAATGCTCAAATACTGGATGTTTTATGAATGTTGTTAAAACCTAAACACCACAACCAATTTGAGAGAAGCCAGCTCAGGAGTTTAAGATTTTCTTGTTAAATTCAGCATGGCTCGAGAAACATCTGCCATAAAAACAGCAATTCAGCAGTTGTCTCCAATGCATGGAGAAGGGTATGCTTTAAGTACCCTGAAGTTACATTTTCTCACGGGGGAATAGATATATAGAGAGATAGATTAGATAGACCCTATTCATTTCAGACCCTTTCCTTGCCTTTGCTTCTCTGCCTAGAATAAAGAAACCAGTCCTCTTCCCCACACATGTGCTGCATTGAGTTTGGGGGATTTTTGGTGTTAGTTTTTTAACATGAGAATAACGGCAGTCTTTCAAATGAGTCTTTAGCTGCTGATGCTGCATTTTGTAGGGTAAATCTGTGTTATTTTTTTGTTTGAAAGGAAGTCAGCCACACTGAAGGTACGGTTCACTTTTTAAT